GTCAGCTGTCAGGGTCTGCGTTGCTTTGTCTTGTGAAGGGTTCTAGAAGACAAGCAATCTCAAACGAGATCTGCTTCTCTAAAGACTGAGCCTCGGAGCTCTTTCAAGCCAGCTCAGCTGAAAAGTCTTGTCTGCAATGGAACTCTTAAGCCATTTTCAGTAAAATTTTCAATTCCTGGCCGGAAAAATTTTACAATTACCACCCCATGATTATTATTATCACCGGACCCCCCTATATAGACTTGTTTACATACATCGGCCCGAAAACCTCCCGAATGGAAAGTAGTCCTCGGCTGGGAAGCCCTGACAGGACCTTCGGCTGCCAAAAGCCAGAGGGCGCTCGCCATCCACGTGCCGCCCCGGGATCCTGCTCAAGCGGGTCCCGGGAAGATGAGAGAGGGCTTGCTCGATCTCCGTGCTCTGAGCTTGTGACGCTTTAGGGTTTAGGGTTCAGGGTTCAGGGTTCAGGGTTTTTCTAGCTGGCCCGAAATGATCGTATGCTATTTTCAAAGACGGTAATGAGAAGTGTATTTCCCCAGCGACATTGCGACTCCCCACTTCGATGAACTGTCGGAACGCGTGCCAGAGCGCGGGGTTGCTGCAAGGAAGGCACACGGCGACCATTTCTTTCGATGGAGAAAACTGTTCTGCCGAGTTCTTAGTTGCAGAGCTTGGCAGTCCCTAAAAGCCGGGACCTGCTCATAACCGTGCACTGGCCCTGTTGAAGTACAGTCTTTCCGAGCTTCAGCGTATCTAGCACTCTTACGCATGGGCTGTTGGTTCCGAATCGATGAATCCCACAAGCCCATCTTTCACATTGAAGGCTGAAGGCCAGGATTGCATCCGAATCCTCCGACACTCCCTCAACACGCGGAAACTGTCACGCCCAGTACTGGGTTGTACCCTCAGGACACCTGTCTGTGCCACTTTTGTATTGGGCCTTGCAGTGCAGGAACTGAAAGTAGCTGGCCCGATTCGCTTCCTGGCTGAATTCGGTGACGGTTGGATTTTCCTTAGCCCAGCTAGCAGCGTAAACCTCCGAGCCCTGAAGCTTGGGGGAGGGGTTGAGCTTGAGTGCGTGAGTTGTCGGGACCTAGAGCTCGAAAGTGGCTTGGACTTGCCCTGTGGAGGCAATTGTGGTTGGAATATAATAGGGGGCGGGGGGGGGGGGGGGGTACTATCATCCCTATTACGGACACTACAATCCCAATTTAGGATACTCTAATACCGATGAAGGACTGTTAGTACCTCTCGTCAATGAGTCCTCGCATGCCGAAGTAGCCATCTACAGCCCTAATATGGGGGCCTCAATAATTAGAATAGGGTCTTGGGGGGGGGGGGGGGGGGCTCTTGTAGAAAACTAAGAAAGGGACTATATGGGAATACTATTCGTAATTCTTCCGACCCCTATGTTAAACCTGTTTGGCCTTTTTGGAATCTTCGGATCTTTGTAATTAGACGGCTCAGGGTTTGATATGTTCGATGTGAAGTGGAGAGCAGACAAGGGCCCCTGTCCGAACTGCCATGGGTGTCGCCGTCACCTTCTTTTTCTTTTTCAAAGTTGGTGTGAGATTCTTCAGGTTGAGACTCTGGGATGTTACCCCTTCTCCTAACAGTACTTCATAGGGATTCATTAGATTACCCCTGTTATGATCCCTATGGCCCTATGAAAAAAGGCTGTTAGTATAGGGGGGAACATCCCAACGCGGGGGGTTTCTGCAGAGGTTTGCCGACGAAGATCCTCCGCCTCATGGTGCGCAAGTCGCCGTGCGGGAGAAGGCCAGTGGATTGCTAGAGCTTTTGATGGCCACCCTAAACCCTAGACCCTAAACCCTAAACCCTAAACCCTAAACCCTATGCCGTTTAGGGTTTAGGGTGCAAGGTGAGAGGCACACCAAGCTCCATGACGGAGTTCTGAGCTGAAGCAGAACCCAGCAAAACGATGAGCTCGTAACTGCTATCGCGCGCTTGGGGTCGTGTGACCCCCCCCCCCCCCCGCCCTTTTGACCATGGATGTCTATCAAGGCCCGAGATGTGGGTTTTGGGTGCCCTGGAGCCCTTAAGCCATCAAACCCTCCGCTGCTTGAGGGTATGCCAGGCACCAACACCTTTGACCGGTGGGAGATGCGAATCCACAAGCGCCTCATTGACTTGCACTCCCCCTCTGATGTCTGAAGCTCAGCAACATGGATTTTCGTTAGGAATTGAAGCCCCAGTTACCAGAATCACAAATCTTACTGGGGACTCTTGCATCTGGCACAGATGCAAAAAGCACCCCAATCTAAACCCACAACTCCGAAAGCTGGTGACCCGTGAATTCAAGTTAGTGGTGTGCTGCTCCTTGGCCCGGGCGGACTCTAAATGCGCAAAAGCGACATGCCGATTGCATCACATATTTGAAGTCTTGCTCGGCGCATACCGAAAAGATTGGTGCCGTCGGTGGTTTTTGTCGCTTCGACTTTCGCGTTTGGGAACACCTTGCAGACATCGTTCTTTACAGTGATTAGCAGGGTTCTCATGCTGGAACCTCGTTTTTGTACGGCAGTTCCTGCCTTCTCTGCCTGGGGGTTCAATTTCCCAAAAGTAGATGGGGCACATCCTTGCCAATGAAGCCTATTTGTTTTCAGAACTGTTAAAATGTTGGCGTTCCTGACATGCTCGAAGGCACTGAAAGTTTGCTTTGGCACCTCTTGCCTCCTCCTCCCTCTCCCTCATCTCCTTCTCCCCAGTTGGTGCACTAGCCCCAAGAAGAGCTGATGTGCTGGTGACACTCACCTCGCATCTGGGCCCGACGTCTTCCCGGTAGCATCTGATGCTCACCTGTCAGGGTTGAGGGTTTAGGGTTTAGGGTTCAGGGCCAGCTGGTAGCTGGCCTCGGGGAGTGGATTCATGCTCGTGACGCTCGCGCAGTTCTGAGGCAGGTGTTGCTCAGGTCCCTCGCCTTGTGGCTGGCTGTACGCCATGGGGCAGCTGATTCGTGCCGGAGCTTGTTGAGTGTACACTATCCTCGTGGCCGGCCTGAGATGATCTCGCGTTGCGTCAGGCTCCGTCCAGGGCAGCTGATGATGCTCAAATTGAGGATGCTTTGTGCACCTGATGATGATGCTTTGTCGCCATTCAAGCAGGGCTCCGGCAGCCGCCAGCATCTGATGCACATGCTGCTCCGTATCGACGCTTGTCAGTTCTGGTTTCTGGGTGAATGATAGGGATCTTGCATCACTCCTGTTCACGACTGACTGCGTGATGACAACAAGGTCGTGAAGCAGATCACGTCCATCTCCATTGAGCCGGCGGCTCAGGATACTTACAGTCTCCTCTGTTATGTTCATGAACTCATTTGAAGGTGTGTCGCTTGGATTTGCGTTTATAGTTTTGGCTTGGATTGTGGCCTCAAAGTTGGGCTATTCGGGGCTCAACTTAAGGATGTGGGCCCCAACTCAAAGTGCTCAAGAGTCATGCCTAAGTTGACATATATAAGTTTGGGAACTGAAAAACATCATCTGCTGTTACCGGCAGCCCTGGCATCATCAGGAGGACTCAAGGTGTGATCACGGCATACGGGGACGATCCCCAGGCCACGCGGACGAAACAACAGCTGCCGACTGTACACTGTCCACCCGGCTGTGTCCGGAAGGTCAACCTCAAATCCTGCAAGCATTGCAAGCCTGAATCGAACTTGAGAGAAACCTAAACCCTAAACCCTAAACCCTAAACCCTATTAGGCCATGCAGGAAGTTGCCCCTGCTTCACAGGCCTGGCGTGGAAGTTGCGCGGCGCTCGGCGGGTCGAATCGGGTTCTTTACTCCACTAGAGCTACTGCTGTGGCCATTTTTTCAGCTCGCTTCTAGACCAAGTTTGTGGCGAAGTAGCTCACGGGATTTTGCAGCTAACAGGGTTTAGGGTTTAGGGTTTAGGCAACGGTTGCTGGTGCTGGGACAGTAGCAGGCAAGCGATCTGGTCGAGCTTAGCCTACAGCACCGTGAACCGCTTGTTTTTTTTCTTTTTTTGCAGTTCTCATAGAACGCCAATGTGGCCATGCCTCGATTCATTTGCAGCTACAGGTCATGTACCTTTTTTCCCAATCGCAGCAAATATCTGGTTAAACTTTTAAACGGAGAAAATCTTGGCCACAAAACTTCATAGCTTAAAGGTAGCAAACCGCTTTGGAACTTCAAGTCTTCGCGCATCGCATACCATGCACAACCCCTAAACCCTAAACCCTAAATCCTAAACCCTAAACCCTAAACCCTCCCACATCCCTCAAAGACCCAGGAGGTGACCATCGCTGACCTGTGATCGCCGTAGCTGTTGATGGCCGCCGGGCACGGAAAGAACAGAAAGAGCCCTTGAGCATTATGCTTAGGGTTTAGGGTTTAGGGTTTAGGGCTTAGGGTTTATAGGGTTTAGGGTTTAGGGTTTAGGGTTTAGGGTTTCGGCAGGTGATCCTAGGGTCCTAGACCCTCCCAGCAACATGAATAAGCTGGGCTGACGAATCGCTTTATCAGACCAACCTTGGATCCGATACAATCCCCAGCTCCCAGGCCCAAAGCCGCAACCCCAGGGCCCCCAGGACAAAGGACGATTAAACCCCAAACCCCAAACCCCAAACCCCAAACCCCAAACCCCAAACCCCAAACCCTAAACCCTAAACCCTAAACGGGATTCGAAAACCTGGTTCTGAGCCTTCAGACTATTAAAATAAAGGGTCGGCGCCCAGCTGATGGGGATTTCAGGAACTGTGGAAAGCTGAACCCTCGACACCGGTCAACGCCGCTAGGCGAAGATCGTAACATTTGCAAGTCCTCAGGACCTTACCATAGCCCCCATAGGAATTGCCTTTGTTTATTTATTGTATTTATGTATTTAAAACCCAAGGGAAAATTGACAATACCATTTTTTGTTAAGGTTCTTTGTGGGAGTATAGCTTCGGATCACAATTCTGGTGGCCACCGGCTCGATGCAGAGTCTGTCGTGTAGCAGCCTCCTCACCTATCAACGACATGGCGCCCGCGCCCGAGCCCACGGGGACTTTCATTGGGTTTCAAGGGTCGCGCGCGGTTTAGGTTTAGGCTTGGGATGTTCCACCTTATACTACCAGTCCTTAGTAGGGATTAGAATAAGAGGGCACTAAATCCCTATTAACGACTGTTAGCATAAGGGGGAACATCCAAAGTTCAGGGGTTAAAGGGGTTAGGGGCGGCAGAACGTGAGTTTAGGCAGTTCGGGGTTCAGGTTAGGGTTTGTGGCTTAGGAGTTATGTGCTTAATTTTACCGGCTTGACTCCCATGCCCTTAACTTTCCAACGAACACTCTTGCCCAAATCCTTAAACATTCTACAACTCAATTGAGCCTGAAATCCCCCGAGATGTGAGACCTAGGTCCCGGAGCCCTCGCAAGCTCTTTTCTCCGAGGACCAAGCCGGTAAAGTCACTCGAGTCGGAGGAGCAGCGTCCGAGGCCCAGCGAAAATCTGAGAGCCCCGCAAAGAGAGCCCAGAAGGGCGGAGGCCTTGTTCTCAGTCAAAGCTGCTGGTTCTTTGCCATCCGCAGCGTGCGAGGCCCTTAGGGTTTAGGGTTTAGGGTTTAGGGTGAGGGCCCTATATAATCCCTCAAGGGGTATATACACATATATATGTATTTACTATTAAATTTCTACATTCTATATATATATATATATACAATAGGGCCTTCATTCCCTCATTCCCTACGAAGTGAACCAGGGGGTTCCAGAGCAGTTTCCACCCAGGCCTGCATCGCATCCGCATCACCTTGAGCAGCCGCGATGTGATCGACTGAGGAACTCTGCTCCCTGTGGGGGTTTAGGGTTTAGGGTTTAGGGTTTAGGGTTTAGGGTTTAGGGTTTAGAGGTTTCTACGTATGGGGGTTCCGAAAATTATAGGGCACCCTTTTTGGGGGTCCCTTCAAGGAGATTCTATTCTATAAAGGGGTGCCCCATGCCCAGTGGGCTTGGTGTCGGGTCTCTTCTGGTCTTTTGCGGCTTCAGGCCTTGCCTCGACTCGAAGAAATCAGTCGGCACATTCGCCAGCTTTCTGACCCTCAACCACCTGGGTGGTTGTCAAAGTTATGGTCCCTTTTTGGATCCCTATTATAATACGGCCCCTAAAATTTAGGGTACCCAAAAGGGATCATAATTTGGACAACCACCCACCTAGAGCCTGATCAGGGCCTTCCTCGACATTTCAAAACTCAACGCGCAGGCTATCGGCTCCTGCATCGAAACCTCCCCAAATGACATGGAGTTCTGAGAAGCCCAGGATCACCAGTTCTGACTTCCCTTTTATGACGTTAGGTCGTTCCAGATCAGATGGAAGTGACCCAATGTGCCGAGAATATCCCGACCTCATGTTACACAGCCTGTTTGTTGCGGCTCTCAGTTCATGTTGCCTCTTTGAACTAGCACGTGGTTGTGTTAGATCGGTTCAAGCTCGGAGTCAAGTGTAACATTGCTGTGCATCCCGTGATATCGTCGCTGTGCACTTGCCACATAAAAAATTAGAGCAACGCTTCCTACCGAACAAGGGTTCGTAACTTGGAGGGAGATGTGCGGGTTTTGGATGTGTGCCTTGCTTACTACCTACTACCCGGCAGAGGTTGCTGGAGGTTCCCTGTTCTGAAGAACGCCACCAACAAGAAAGCTACCGTGAATGCTTCGTCCTGGACCCTACAAGGAAGGCCCTGCCCTAAACCCTTTAAACCCTTGAAACCCCTTTAAACCCTTTAAACCCCTCAAACCCCTGAAGCCCTTTAAGCCCTATTTAAGCCATTTAATCCCTAAACCCTGAGCAACCCTAAACCCTAAACCCTAAACCCTAAACCCTAAACCCTGAGCAACCCTAAACAGGTCAAGGCCCTGGAGAAAGTCTGCACCGACCTGGTCACCGGTGCCAAAGCAAAGGAAAGGGTGTGTGTTGAAAAGACTGAGGGGTTTAGGGTTTAGGGTTTAGGGTTTAGGGTTTAGGGTTTAGGGTTTAGGGTTTAGGGTTTAGGGTTTAGGGTTTAGGGGGGCGTGGTTCTCTACTCTACAATCCTGCAGGGAAACCAACCCCTGGAGGGGTTCTTTCCCCTTGCAGGGGCACCATGGCAAAGAAGACACGGAAGGGTTGTGTGCCTTCAGGTTCTCGAAAATCTCCAAGCCCAGACATCTGCAGCGTTTTTGCTTTGGTCGTGTGCCTGGTACCTTTTGTGAGCAACGTGTACTAACACCTACTGCTTGCTTTCTGTCATATATTCATTCCTTCCACAAAACACAGGGTTTTGGGTTGAGGGTTGCAAGTCAAGACTCTTAGCGTAAGAATGTTGACGATTTCATGCTGCCGGCTCGCATAAGTTGTTCCGTCCCTCCGGCGGTCACAGTGGACACCGCCTTTTTGAGGGGTTCTCTTCACCAGGATCTTCGGCACGCGGGACTCTCTGCCGGAATTTCTGTGGCTGGGCACCCCCAGAACCTCGACGGAGCGTGGGTGGGCACTGGGCACTGCAAAGATACTTGCCGGGACTCTCTGTGGGCTTGTCTGGGGGTGGGCGCTCCAGGGACCAGGCCAGGAGGCTGTGCGGGGCAACGGGCAACGAGGTGTGGAGAATGGCTGGCGGAAAAACCTGGCAACCTCACACCGCGGGTGGGAAGAACGACCGCCACAGCAACAAAAAAAGCACTTCGGCCGACACCAAGACTATTAATTATGCTTCAGCGATCCAAATCAGGGTTAACCAGGGCCCTCGGCCCACAGGGTGTGGGAGTAAAGTTAGGGGGTTCACGGCTTAGGCTTAGGCCTTTGTGTCAGGGCTGCCTTGGCTGGTGTCTGGCATTGCTTGGCTATAATTAATGGTTCGATCATGTTCGAACGCTGGGCCTTGCAGGCCCTAACAATTCCTGACATTCAAACCCACGCAGGCACCATGTGGGCAGACATTCGGCACTGTGGGCCGGTGTTTGGGCTGGTTTGGGAATGCCTGGGGCTGGGAAGGAGATTTGAGGCCTGGGCGAAGAATAAGTTAGTAAGTTTGGGTTGCTGAACCGAAGCGAAGCTCCCAGAGACTAAATTACAATAGGAACCCTAATATGATTTAAGGTATATTCCTTAATTAAGGGGTTTTGGAGTCTCTGGGCTTTGTATTTTCAAGACACCGGTATCGTCTACATAACCCCATGCCAAGCCCCTGAGCCGGTCAAAGCTAGCCCCCGCAAGGAGTTGAAAGTGGCTGGACCGGTCCGCTGCGACCTCAGCCCTAAACCCTAAACCCTAAACCCTAAACCCTAAACCCTAAACCCTAAACCCTAAACCCTAAACCCTAAACCCTAAACCCTAAGCCTCAGTGCATGGAAGACGACGTCAGGTGAGTCAGGTGACCCTCGTGTCGTTTTAGGTCTCAGGTGTGACGGGTTTCTGTTCAGTAAAGGGGCTGCTTTCAGGGGCCAGCGCCCTCTGACTCTAGGTGCAAGGTGCTGGGCCAAACGCACAGTAAGATTGTTACCAGACCTCGACTGCAGACATGTTTTACAAGTCATGGCTTCAGGGGGGAACAGGTGTGGCTCTTCAGTGTTCAGGCAGATTCTTTCTTTAACGTTAGTAGCCAAGTGGATTGCAGGCTACTCGAACTCTGCTCCCAGGATCGAAAACAGAAGCTCTTAATGTCTGAACTCTCGAAAGGCTCTTGTTAGTCGTCGTAACCCCGAAGCCCTGGGCATCAAAACTAAAATGATTAAACAACCCGGACCCAGTCCCAATCGGTATAGCTTGGGATGTTCCCCCTTATACTAACAGTCCTGAAGAGGGATTCTAGGTACCCCCTATTAGAATCCCTATCAAGGAGCTGTTCGTATATAGGAACATCCCAAAGTATAGCGCTATAAGCCCTAAACCCCTAAACCCTAAGCCCCAAACCCCAAGCCCTAAACCCTAAACCCTCAACCCTAAACCCGAAACCCATTCCCAATCAGCATAGCGCCCAAACGCGCCAAGGCCTGCCCACGAAGATTCTTCGGCTGATGGTCCGCAAGTCGCCGTGCGGTGAAGGCCAGTGGATTGCTGGAGCTTAGGATGGCCACCCGAAACCCGAAACCCTCAACCCTAAACCCTAAACCCTAAACCCTAAACCCTAAACCCTAAACCCTAAACCCTAAACCCTAAACCCTAAACCCTAAACCCTAAACCCAACAAATCAAAGCTAAAGCCAGTGACCACAGGCACCAACACGTTCGATCGCTGGGAGATGCGGATCCACAAGCGCCTCATTGACCTGCACTCCCCTTCCGACGTGGGAGGGAGGGGGAGGGAGGGTTTTGGGTTTAGGGTTAGGGTTTAGGGCTTAGTATCAGGCTTTAGGGTTGAGGGTTAGGGCTTCGTACAAGGGTTTAATTTTTAGGGCTTAGTACAAGGGTTTAGGGTTTAGGGCTTAGTATTGATTAGGGTTTAGGGTTTAGGGTGTAGGGCTTAGTACAAGGGTGTACGGTTTAGGGCATAGGGTCTAGGGTCTAGGGTTTAGGATTTAGGGTTTAGCGGGGGGCTGGGGAGGGCTGGCCCTGGGGGTTGCGTTCCACCAAGTTGCTTCGGGAGTTACTTCGAGAGTCTTTCGATCGGCTGCAGTGGCAGAAATAGAGCGGAAGCCTTAGCTTGCCTCAGCTACAAAAGTGCCAGGATGGGCTATCAGGCCTTAGAATCCCTATAATCAACCCTATAAGCGCCTTTTTAAGTAGGGATTGTAAGGTACAATAGCCCCATCCTGGTGGGCCCCGGTGAAGTCCTGTGAAACTGCAGAAGCTCGAAGCTGCTCTGTGAGCCTTAGAGCATTGTTTGAGAGAGCCCCTGGTCATTGAGGGTTTGGGGTTTAGGGTTTAGGGTTTCGGGTTTAGGGTTTCGGGTTTAGGGTTTCAGCGCCAGGTGGTGAAGCAGATTACCTCCATCTCGATCGAGCCCGGCACTGAGAGATTCAGGAAAGGATGGTCAGTGCTGGAAGGACCCAAGTAGAGCAAACTTCCACGACCCCGAAGCCCTACTCCCCTAAACCCTAAACCCTAAACCCTAAACCCTAAACCCTAAACCCTAAACCCTAAACCCTAAACCCTAAACCCTAAACCCTAAACCCTAAACCCTAAACCCTAAACCCCAGGGGTGGTTTGGATTTAGGCCTGTTTGGGGTGGGGGTGGGAGTGATAGTGCCCTCTGCTCTCGCTTGCAAATCTGTTTGAACCTTCACTGCTGAGACCCTCAACCTTGCAACCCTAAACCCTAAAAACCCTATAAACCCTATAAACCCTATAACCCCTATAAACCCCCTAAACCCTAAACCCTATAAACCCTATAAACCCTATAAACCCTACCCTATAAACCCTATAAACCCTGTAAACCCCATAAACCCTAAACCCTGTCTACTACTGGCGCTGTGCCAGGCCCGGTGTGGAAGTTGCCTGGAGCTGAGAGAGCTCAGCTTGACGCGAACATTTTGGGATGTGCCCCCTTTCTCGAACAGCTCCAGAATAGGGACTATAACAGGGGGAGGGGGGGGGAGTCATAATCCCTATCCAGGAGCTGTCAGTATAGGATAATCCCTATTAAGCTATTAAGGAGCTGTTAGTAAAAGGGGGAAAATACCAAGGAACATTCAACCAAAACAGCCATGAAAGGGCCTCGAACGTCTGGTGCCTTTAGAAGGCTCCGGAGCTTAAGCTCTTGTGCTTAAGGCTCTTGTGTCGGGAAAACCTTGCCGTCAGCCAGTTCTCGCAGGTTGTGGTGTGTGGTGCACACGTTTTCATGGGTTGGTGGTATGACCTAAAGTTGCCTTGAATGCGCAGTTGGCACATGCTGAATCTTGTTGGTTGCAGCTCTGCATCCAAAACACCAGAAACCAAACAGCCCCAAGAACATCCTGATGGTCCTCAATCCAGTACACAAGATAAGTTGAAAAAAGGGAGCCTCCCTCATCGGAACGGAGGAGAGAAGAGAAAGGAAGACAGCAGCAAAAGAGAGATGTCGTCAACGCAGTCACATGAAATGGCGCGGTCATCATGGGCTGTTCCAGCAATGGGGAAAATATTCTCAGTTGGAGCTCCTCTTCCTTCTCTGTTGGGTTTTGGGTGTAGGGTTTGGGGTTTAGGGTTTAGGGTTTAGGGCCCGTCCCCTTTCCTTTCCATTCCTAGCCTTGTCCACAAGCGCGCAATGCGGGCTGATGTAAGCGGCGAAAGATGTATTTGCGCAACAGTGCGCACGTTCAACTCTTCCACATAGCTTCAGAGGGCTCATGCTGCGGTAGATCAAGACAGCTGACGCGACGTGCAGAGAGAAGTTGACCAGAGTTGGACACTCAGTATGACCTGCGTGAAGCTGTGCACATCGCGTACCACGTTTGGCAAATGCTCGAGACTGGAGCTCCGGACGCGCCCGTCCGTTTGGGAAATGTCGAGCTCCAAGCAGGCTGACAGCTCCGCGTCGACCGTCGCGTCAGATGTGAGAACGATGACACGAGAAAAGCTCTGCCCCTGCCCACGATTGCGCTGCAGCGAGTGCTGAAACTTGCTTTGCAGGATTTGCTTGCTGTGGCGTTAGCCAAATGGCTAACAACAAACAAGCAATATTGTGAAACCCTAAACCCTAAACCCTAAACCCTAAACCCTAAACCCTAAACCCTAAACCCTAAACCCTGAATGGGGGCCTAGGGTTTTCATCCAACACCCAGGAGGTGACCATCGCAGACCTGTGAGAGAGGCTGATGGCTCAAGGCTACAGTGGCACGGAGGAGCATTCAAAAAAGGACTGTGTAGGGTGAAAGCATGGCCTGCCCGGCGGTTCTTGCTGGTCTGTAAACTGTACATCTATGCCAACCCGCGAGAATCGAAGCACAACTATGCCAATCAACAAGGACAATGATGATTTCTCGGCCGTTCATACATGTTGTACGACATCAGAAATATTGACAAGACCTGATAGTGTCGGCGCTGGCCGGCAAGAGCCCTGCCCTTGTAGACGGCAGTAAACCACACTGGGAGTTCACGCTTTTGAGGTTTAGCGAGCTTCAGTGCCTGTTTGAACTGCATCAACTAGATACACTTTGTTCCTCCAAACTAAGGATCCAATCTGAGACCATACAATCCTGTAATTACTTCACCAGTGTGGATAGATCCATAAGGGCGTGTGTAGCCAGGGGCGTGCACGAATGCACCAGATGGCAAAACCCGAGGCATAAAGCCGAGTTTGTTCTTTGTACGGTTGTCAGCAGGTTTCGTTACAGTGCAAGGGGTGGCAATCCTGAAGCCTGGGTTGTTTGGAAAGCACTTGGGTTTAGGGTTTAGGGTTTAGGGTTTAGGGTTTAGGGTTTAGGGTTTAGGGTTTAAAAGGGAACTTTCAACCCTACCTCCGAAGACCCTGGCACTTGCGGCGCATGCCCGGACGGGCTCAACACAGAGTCCTGGGAAGTAGCGAGCCTCGCAGACCGCCATGGCGCCAGCCCCTCAGGGTTCACGATTCAAGCGTATTAAGACTTTTCGGGTTTGCATAGAGACTGCTTGCTGCAGAGGCCTCGAGTCTACATGACTTTTGGACTTTGGGCTTTAGACCCCGTTTCGGCTGAGGTTGCTCCTCAACCGGCTTGGTACAGTTTGATGTTTTCTTCGGCCGCCATAGGCTGCCCCAAAATTGCAAACCATCCCAGCGGCGCGCTTCAGCTCTCCAACTAGTCCCCCTGGTTCTTCGCAGGGAATGAGGGAATCTGCGGGCCCTAGATATACCTCTTAAGGGATTTCACCGGGCCCTAATTCCGAAGAACTCCAGCCAACTGAGCTCCAACGAGCTCCTTTAAGGACCAAGCCGGTGAAGTCCCTCGAGTCGGAGGAGCAGCGCCCCGGGCTCAGATCCTCAGGCGCATGTGAAGCAGGGTTTAAATACTGTTATTCTAAGAATAGCTCACCGTACCCCAAACCCATACCCCTTAACCTCTGAAAGTACAAAGTAAAGGTAGTTTATAAGGGAGGATTTTACCATACCCCTTAATTTCTTTTAAGGGGTATGCCCTAGGGGTATGTTGAACATTTCTTAGAGTTATTGGTGAGTGTATATAAGGTTCCTTTTGAAGATTGGTGAGTGTATATATCGGGTGTCCCTTTGAGGATACATGGTGAGTGTATATATCGGGTGTCCCTTTGAGGATACAAGGAATATCTAAACCCTACTTCATGCGTCGATACCCCGCCTTGGAAGTTATTTGTTGTTTTGTGCTTGTTCATTTAAAAACCAAGGGAAGATTAAAAATCATAATTTTGATTCAGGTTCTAAGGGGAGTAGAGGTGTTCGCTAGTGATATTCAGAGTGAGCCCAGCGAACGGGTCTTTTGCTAGTTTGCTGCTTTCCCAATCTTTCAATTCGCTCACGCGGCTGTGATAATTGTTCGTTCTGGCCCGTGAATTAGTATTGTCATATCCGCGGGCACATATTTGCACATATATATATGGGCGTCCGCCTATTGCGGTTCCCCTTATTTTTTTTGGGTTTACATAAATGTATATATTTTAACCCTAAACCATCGTTATAACCACAGCAACAAGTCGATGATGATGTATGTACCCCAAACCTATAGGGTTAAGTTTGACAGGTTTAGGGCTTAAGATTCAGGCATTTAAACGTAAGCCCGCAATGAAACCTAAACCCTAACCGTTCAACCCGATAGAGTTAAGGTTAAGCGGTTAGGGTTTAAGATTGAGGTGTTGTTAAACTTTAAACCTAAACCCATAGAGATTTAACCTTAAGGGTTGAAAGTTCGGGCAGTTAAACCTTAACCCTGAACCGTTTAGGGTCAGAACCCTAAAACCCAACAGGGCTCTACAAGGAACAAAGGTTTTGACCCTAAAGGGTGCTGAAGGTATACATGCCCAGACCTTAGGTTTTCTTGAACCATTCAACCCTACAGGGTTTAAAGGCTTAGGGTTTAAGGTTTAGGCATTACCTGTACGATAGAACCTTAAAGCCCTATACGGCTTGGGGCTTAGATCCCTAAACCTTGAATACCATAGGGCTATGCCTAGGTTTGTAGGGCTTTCTTCCCGGTGACGCGAGAATACTGTGAGCAAATGTCCTTTTCACTACTTCCTGGGATTCAAAATATAAACAAACCATATCGTTATATGATAGAATTCAGGTTTTGCTCATCGGGGGATGGTTGCTTGAGCTATCTTAGGTAAGGTAAGGATTTTAGGATAGAGGTTTTGTTTTGCTTATTGGGGCGTGATGGGGTTACCCTCATTTTCTTATAGGCTATTTACATGTATATAAATCAAACCCTGAACCATAGTTATAACCGCAGCAAGAAGTTATAACCTTGTCATAAAGAAATTTCCGCAGAGCTCGTCAAATCCGATCATGATGTAGGCGCCCCAACCCTAGAGGGTTAAGGTTGACAGGTTTAGGGTTTAAGATTGAGGCAACTAAACCAAAGCCGGCAATTCAACCTAAACCCGAACCTTTAAACCCTATAGAGTTAAGGTTTAAGGGGTTGGGGTTTAGGATTTAGGCATTTAAAACGAAAACTCAAAAAGTTTCAATCTTAAGTGTTTGAAGTTCGGGCATTCAGACCTTAACCCTGATTCGTTTAGGGTCACAACCGTAAAACCCTATAGGGCTCCCAAAGGTTCAAAGATTTTAACCCTAAAGGGTACTGAAGGTATACATGCCCAGACCTTAGGTTGTCGAACCATTGAACCCTTTAGGGTTTAACGGTTTAGGTTGAAGGTTTGGGCATTAATTACCTATACAATAGAACCTTAAAACCCCAGAGCGCTTGGGGCTCAAATCCCCAAACCTTGAATCCCATAGGGTTATGCCTACGTTTGTAGCGCTTTCGTCCCGGTGACGCGAGAATACTGTGAGCAAATGTCCTTCCACTACTTCATGGGATTCAAAATATAAACAAACCATATCGTTATATGATAGAATTCAGGTTTTGCTCATCGGGGGATGGTTGCTTGAGCTATCTTAGGTAAGGTAAGGATTTTAGGATAGAGGTTTTGTTTTGCTTATTGGGGCGTGATGGGGTTACCGTTACCCTCATTTTCTTATAGACTAATTTACATGTATATCAATCAAACCCTGAACCATAGTTATAACCGCAGCAAAAAGTTATAACCTTGTCATGTACATATATCCGCAGAGCTCGTCACTTTCACTACTTGCTGGGATTCAACATATACACAAACTATATCGTTAAATGATGGAATTCAGGAATTGCGTATCGGGGGATGGTTGCTTGAGATATTTTGGCTAAGGTAAAGTATTTGGGATATTTCGCTTGTTGGGGGCGTGATGGGGCTCCCCTTATTCTTATGGGTTTACATAAGTGTATAAAAATCAAACCCTAACCCATAGTTATAACCACAGCAATAAGTTATAACCTTGTCATATAGAAATTTCCGCAGAGCTCGTCAAATCCGATCATGATGTAGGCGCCCCAACCCTAGAGGGTTTAGGTTGACAGGTTTAGGGTTTAAGATTGAGGCACTTAAACCTAAGCCGGCAACTCAACCTAAACCCGAAGCTTTAAGCCCTATAGAGTTAAAGTTTAAGAGTTAGGGTTTAAGGCGCAATCCCATATAGTATACGTATACTTATGAGCAGAAAAGATACGGGAGACACTGCTTGCGATTCAGAATATTCGGAGCAGAAAGGATACAGGGGACACTGCTTGCGAATCAGAAGTTTAGGAGCAGAAAAGATGCGGTCGAGGTACCTCGGCAGGAGCACCATTAAACCATCAAACCAGTAAACCAATAAACCATTAAACCATTGAACCAATGGTTTCCCCCTTATGAGAATCCCCTAAACCATTAAACCATTAAACCATTAAACCAATGGTTTCCCCCTTATGAAAATCCCTTAAACCATTAAGCCATTAAACCATTAAACCATTAAACCAATGGTTGCCCGCCATGAAAATGGTTTAATGGTTTAGGGGATTCTCATATGGGGGAAACCATTGGTTTAATGGTTTAATGGTTTAATGGTTTAATGGTTTAATGGTTTAATGGTTTAATGGTTTAGGGGATTTTCATAAAGGGGAAACCATTGGTTTAATGGTTTAATGGTTTAATGGTTTAGGGGATTTTCAGAAGGGGGAAACCATTGGTTTAACGGTTTAATGGTATGGTTTAATGGTTTAATGGTTTAGGGGGAGACCATTGGTTTAATGGTTTGAGGGATTCTTGGTTAGATGGTTTAAGGGAATGTGCAAAAAATACAGGGGAACCGCTATAGGCGGTGACCCATATATATATATATATATAGGGAGAAAATAGCTTTGTGTTATGATTACGCCCGCGCACGAAAGATAAATAACAACACAATAAGATAGGGTAAACGAAGAGTAAAGGCCCATGCAAGCGGGCTAAACGTACACGAATCGTATGATTTGCAGTTTTTTCCTACCCAGGAGCTTGAAACATGCGGGAAGCATATGGTACATTTTCAAGTATGAGCCCGTGAGCAGCGAGGGGTGGCCAGGCCTAGGAAAAATCAGGGAGGGCCAGACCTGGGAAAAATCCAAGAACATCCTCCGCTTCCATGTTGTGCTGTAGACTTCCCAGGCTTGGTAGAACTCGGGAGGCCCTTGGGATATGTTTTTTTTTGTTTTTTTTTTTTTTTGGGGGGGGGGGGGGGTGGGGGGGCTTTAAGAGGACCATGTATAGGAACATTTTTCAGAGAGTTTCAAGAGCCATCCTAGAGAAGTACCATCCACAGTTTAGGGTTTAGGGTTTAGGGTTTAGGGTTTAGGGTTTAGGGTTTAGGGTTTAGGGTTTAGGGCCAGTTTAGGGTTTAGGGTTTAGGGTTTAGGGTTTAGGGTTTAGGGTTTAGGGTTTAGGGTTTAGGGTTTAGGGTTTAGGGTTTAGGGTTTAGGCGCCCTTCTCTCCAGCACCATGGGCTGCAGGGTTGCACCGCATCCGCATCACTCTGAGCAGCCGTGATGCTCATGCCTCAGAGTGGTGTCCGTTGGCGGTTTAGGGTTTAGGGTTTAGGGTTTAGGGTTTAGGGTTTAGGGTTTAGGGTTTAGGGTTTCGGGGCCTTAGCATGTCCAGCCTACAGGGCCCGGAATCAGGATTCAGGCCTTTGGGTTTGAGATCCCAAAGCTGCAAAAATGCTTGGCTTCTTATTCCTAAACGGAACCCAGATACGTTCAGGAAGCCTTGCCGCAGTTCAGGAGACAAGATTCAGATAAGGGCCTGACATTCGAAACAACAAATTAGGGTAAACTCATATCGAGTGGGCCTAAAGACCTCCTCCACACCCACAGGCACTAAATTGCTCACTTAGCCCTGAAACCCTTTGCGTTCTCGTAGAGCTTCCGGGAAGAATATTCAAGATCAGAGACTTATTCTTCTCCGCCAGCTGTTTCTTCTGTGCATTTTCCGAGCTGCTTCCCTCCGCTCTGAATCGTTTTTTCCTGCTGGCTTCCGCATTGCCCCCTTGCTTTTGTTCCCCGCATGTCCCCGCCGGATTTGGTCTCCGAGCTTGTTTCCTGAGCTTCGTCGTGTTGATTCAGGAAAGGCTGGGAGTCGGCGCATGTTAAAGCAGATGAGTCCGAGAGGCCCAAGTAGAAGCTTGTAAGTTTTTTTTAAGCAAGCATACTGTGTACCCCTTTTTCCTGTTACTATGCAGATGCCATGAAGACTCATCACTTCTAGTGGCTTCCCATGCAAGTTTCACCACATCCCTGCAGTCGGCAAACGAGTCTCTGATTCCAAAGCCGGGCGGTGTCAGCATTTGGGCCGTTTCCAGTATAGAGCTGTCTTGTGTTGGGCGTAGAAACAAGTTGCTGTTCGAGAGATGTGGTTCTTCCCCTGGAGAGTCGAAGCCAGAAATCCTAGTCCTATTTCCCAATGGTGTGCCAACGTCAGTCCTTCTGGACATGTCTCAAATTTTTCCAAAGCCGAACCTTCCAAAGCTAGACTCCTTCAATCCAATCGATGCATCGTTGTCTATTGAAGCGCTGAAGTTGCCAGGAAGCCGCATTGGCTCGGGGACCGTCAGGTCGTCGTAGTTTGTTGCTCCCTTCACTTCCCCCCCAACTGAAAATCTCAGATTGTTGAACCCCCCTTGAACCCGCAAACCCCGCAAACCCCCAAACCCCCAAACCCCTAAACCCCAATCATTATGATGAGCCGTTACACTTTCCTGAAGCTGCAGGTTCGAGCTCTGGAGAAGGTCTGCACAGACCTGGTGACTGGTGCGAAGGCGAAGGCAGATGCGAGTTGTGTTGGGCGCGGGCGGGGGGGGGGGCGGGAGAGGGGGGGAGGGGGCAAAGGCTCAGGGTCTGGGCTTCCGAATGTAGGAAGTGAGCCCACGCCGAGAGGGGACTACTGTTCATCAAGACTCAGAACACGGTTCCTGAAAGACTGAGAGGGGGGCATGCTGTCGATGTGGGTTTTGTATTGCTTGACCCTGCAGTGAGTGCGTCCCCTCCACCGGAACAGAAACGGATTCCGTGGGGCACCCTCCGACCGGAAAGGGGTATTTGACCCTGAAGTGTGAAGTTGTAGAATGGAAGATTTTGTTAGATCCCTGTGCTCGTGGCTAACTCCGATAGTCCCAAATCAAGGAAGTGTAGGCCTCAACGTGTGCTGACGCTGCCCTCGCACTGTCCATCTCTTCGCAGGGCCAAACCCAGTCGCACCGTGACCCTAAATCTTAGAATCCGCGAACACGCACAAGCCTGAAGCTTAAACACCCCCAAGCACCAGGAGTTGAAAGTTGCTGGGCCCATCCGCATCTGCCTCAGTCTCGCCTTGACGACTTTTCGTTTGCGTTCTTGGCGTCCAGTGCTTTGAGTTGATGTCGTGTGCAGCCCTAACAACCCTAAGCCCAACAAAAACCCTAAGTCCTAAAACCCTAGGCCCTAAGCCCTAAAAACCCTAAGCATAAGCCGCCAGAGTTGCATCAAAGCACCTGGCTGTCACTAGCATCACCGGTGGCCATCAGGTTTGACTCTTTGCACCGCATCGCGTGCGAGCATGCCTAGAGACTGACCCAGGTCTTCGATGTCTGGCCATTCGGATGCTAAGACACCACCGCTTAGCCCAAAACGTCAACTTGGGAAGGCTGAAAATGCACTGACAATGCTTGAGAACGTGGCACGCGACCGCACGCAATCTTAGGACGTAGAATTCTTGGGGCATCTGCGGAGGTCCGGGTTCAGGGTTGAGGGGTCTTTAAGCTAAACCCTAAACCCTAAACCCTAGACCCTAAACCCTAAACCCTAAACCCTAAACCCCAAAACCCTAAACCCTAAACCCTAAACCCTAAACCCCAAAGTGCCGCAACATCGAAGCGAGGTCTGCCCACGAAGATCCTTCGGCTCATGGTGCGCAAGTCCCCCTGCGGTGAAGGAGCGCCCCAGGGACTTGAAGAAAGGTTTGGGGTTTAGGGTTTAGGGTTTAGGGTCTAGGGTCTAGGGTTTAGGGTTTAGGGTTTAGGGTTTAGGGTGGTCCAGGGTTTAGGGTCTAGGGTTTAGGGTTTAGTGGATTCTCTGGATTTGCTATGGATTTGTTGCGGTGGCAGGTTAGTGAACCTGCCATTTGCTTCGTGCCTACACCTGCGCTCTAATAGGGATGTTGTCAGTTTTCCGTTACTGGGCGCAAAAGTGAACCCCGAGCCCAGACCTAAACCATAAGCTCCCTGAGCCTCGAACCCACAACAACCCTGAAGCCTAAACCCCTAAACAAGTGAGCCCCCGAAGCCCCCGAAACATGCCAGCTCAGCCTCGTAAAGCCCCACCAAACCCTACAAAGCAGCTCCGAATGCGAGTCTTGTCACCGTGGCAGTGAGCCCTATGGTTTGCCTGTGCTCATGCCATTTTTCGAAAGTTTACCCCAGACCTTCAATTCGTCTTGATGAGATTTTTTGCTAGAAACACCTTACTGGAAGCTGCGCGGCTTGCCGGTGTGGGAGTAAGGACCAGAGCCCAAGATGAAAAGCTCACACACAGAAGCGCAAGTGAGCGCATCCGCAGTGAATCAGTATGAGGCCTCCTGCTTCACTTGTACTGTGTTCAACCCCCCATCAGGTCAAAGCCCTTTCATTTTCTAGAGCCGGCGGCGGTTCGGAGGGGAGCACAGCAACAGCAAAATGAAAATAACACGGTAATTCAAGGCGTGCTTTCATGGGAACTTATGTTTTTTGCAATCGCTGTTTTTTGGTGCAAACTTGAAGCTAGCACTTGTAAAGACCCAGAAAGGGATACTGAGCAGCATTCCAAGCCTTGGCGTCTGCTTGCTGTTTCGGTTGAAAAGTTCGTAAGACTTCGTCCGCCTGCCAGGCACCAACACGTTTGATCGATGGGAGATGCGAATCCACAAGCGCCTCATTGACCTGCACTCACCCTCTGACGCCGGAAGCTCAGAAAACGTGCCACCGTAAACCCTAAACCCTCCTTGTTCACTTCCGAAACTTTGAAGAGCGACTTGGGAATGTCAACCGGTGGGCCGGTGTCACTCGAACTACTTGGGCCAACATGGTGTGGCTCCAGCAAACTTGTTTCAACCCACCTGAGCGCTTAAATGTCGTAATTTAGGGGTGGGCCCTGAGAATGAATGTTTGCTTGCTTCTTTGGATGGACATAGAGGAATGATCAGACACCCAGCCCGTAACCCGCTGCAAAAGCTGCGACCTTCACGGCCCCGACAGCAAGATGCTGCAGTCGGACACACCTGCTTAGAGTGCAAAACTACAAGGCGTAAGCCGTGAGCTTAGATCTCAATGACAATTATTGCTAAAGTGTTCATTCGCAAGGTGGTGAAGCAGATTACCTCCATCTCCATTGAGCATGGCGCTTGGACGAATCACACGGTTTGACCATCCCGAGTTCTCGAGCGTACCTAGGGTTCAGCGTTTCGGGTTTGGGTCTGAGTCTTGTCTAACCCCCTAAAACACCTCGACGCAGATGAGGCTGGCCTATTCAACAGGTTCCTAGGACCCGGAGTAGGCCCTTATTTCCTTTTTGAAGGGTTGGGGTTCCCTTATTATTCCCTTAAAACCAAAAAGGCACCCTTTTATTTCTAGGTTACTCCTGGGTCGAGGTTCGTATGGTGACTCTTTCTGGATTTTGGATTTCTCGGGAGTCGCCCTTCCTCCGTTGTGGTTTTGCGAGGCGTGGGCTGCAAGCCCTTTCGCTGAGTCCATCCGCTAAGCTAGCGAGAAATCCGGCAGACTCTCCATGCAGAATGCCCTACACCCTAAACCCTAAACCCTCCCTAAACCCCTAACCCCCTAAACCCTAAACCTGCACGCCGTTTGTGTTATTACCTTTGAGCCCATGGTTCCCAACGAGGCAACTGCAAACAAGAACCCACGTGTCCCGAAGCTGCCAAACCGAAAGCTCAGTCAGGGTGTCAGGCCTCAAACTTCACAGGCTGGCTAGTATAGGGTAGTATAGGGTATCATTGCATTTTAAGGCATTCTAGGGTATTATATTCTAGGGTATCTATAGGAGTAGCACAAGCAAAAGCCAAGCACTTCGCGCACTTCGCCCAAAACCCATAAGCCCTAAACCCTAAACCCTTTGTGTGTTTAGGGTTTAGGGTTTAGGGTTTAGGGTTTAGGGTTTAGGGTTTAGGGTTTAGGGTTTAGGGGTGTGTGCTCCAGTTCGCACGTTTTGAGTGCCAAGGCCAGGAGTCGAAGTCGTCCGAGGCTTACAGAGCCAGAACCTACCAGGATGGGCTACTGGGCCCTATAATCCCCATACTCAACCCTAAAAGGCGCTATAATCCCCAGTATAAAGGCCCCTATAATCCCCATAGTCAACCCTATAAAGGGCCTTGTTAAGGGGTTCTAGGGCATAATTGCCCCTTTTTAGGGGTTACAGGGTGTACCAGCCTTTTTCAAGGGGTTATAGGGTAGAGTAGCCCATGCCGCCCATGCCGGTATCTGATTCAGAAAGCATGCTCAAACATGCTCAGGTGAATTCGGGCACTGCTGGGCTAGTGCGGGATGGTTCAGGATGGGGTTTAAACCCTAGATTTAAACCCTAGACCCTAAACCCCAAACTTGGGTCATTCGGACGCGGAGATGCTGACTTAGGACTTTGGATTTTGGTACGCAACTGCCAGTATTCGGGAGTGTTTGGAAGCACCAGCTTGTCCTAAACCCCTTAATAGCCCTTACCCATAGGGTTTAGGGTTTAGGGTTTAGGCTCCAAAGAGTCTGAAGCTTGAAGACTTTGGATCTTGGCCGGATGACCCCGCTTCTTACGTTCACTCGAAACGGGTTTAGGGTTTAGGGTTTGGGGTTTAGGGTTTAGGGTTTAGGGTCTGCAGATCCTCAATCCTTCAAGCTTCACCCTTATGCATCCCTGAAAGAAGAAGTCCTAGAATCATCTTCTCACGCAATCCCTCTACCAGCATGGGCGATTATACCCTATAACTCCTTAAGCAAGGCCTCAAAATGGGGGGTTGGTTATGGGAATTATGGGGCCTAATAGCCCTAAACCCGAAACCCTAAACCCTAAACCCCAATCCTCATAGAGTCCTCGAGACCAGCTCAGGAGGTGACCATCGCAGACCTGTGAGGGGGCGCTACAATCGCAAGGACTCCCAAGCCGCTGTGGCGCGGAGCGCAGAAACGCTCGGGCATGCGGGTTTAGGGTTTAGGGTTTAGGGTTTAGGGTTTAGGGTTTAGGGTTTGCGTTTAGGGTTTAGGTTTAGGGTACTTGCAACACTGCACACGGCCCGGGTTCATGTGCCAAGGTCCTACAGCCTGATCCAAACACGAAAACCCTGTTTCATTGGGCTTTCAGGGGGCCACATTCGTTCCAGGGCTTTTGCAATGTTTGGGGGGGTTTTGGGTGGGTTTTGGGGGGGGTTTTGGGGGGGTTGGGGGGGTTTTGGGGGGGTTTGGGGGGGGTTTTGGGGGGGTTTTGGGGGGGGTTTGGGGGGGGGTTTTGGGGCGGGTTTTGGGGCGGGTTTTGGGGTGGGTTTGGGGGGTTTTTTTGGGGGGGTTTTGGGGGGGTTTTGAGACTCCAATTCTTTGGGATCAGCGGTTCCGGTTGAGGGCAAACGCAGCCGGCTGGGGGGTCAGCCGGCTGGGGGGTCTTAGCAGGTCATATATCCCAAGGTCTGACAAAGAAGATGCACATGAGACACATGAATACACTTGCCTTCAAATGTCCGCCGGCCTCGGCTCGAAGGGACGATCGAGGGATCAGCTGCTTTGAGCTTCGATGGTTCATGAAGGGGTTTCCGAAATTAGGGGTACTGTACCTTATTGGGGTCCTTATTTTGAGGGAATCCTACTATTTGGGGTCTATATTACGGGGTCCCTTATTTTCGTAAACCCCCAATGAGGCTCCCGCCCTTTGTACTGGCTTTGGTGGCGGCCATCTGTCCTGGGGTTTCCTCCACGGCTACTGACGATTGTTTGGCATGCGTGGAGGGCAAAGGGTCCTGGCAACTAAGCTCATGCCACTCTGCAGATCGTCTGGGGCATTGCCCCATTGCAGATGCCGACTGCTGCACAGACGCAGAGTGCTGTGTTACCAGTGGCTGCCGATCACCTGAAGACATGCTTGTCGAATCATGGGCGTCAGACCATCCAGTGTCCTGCCACAGATGTTGTGAGGAGTCGTCGCAGGGGTGCAAGTTCCGGACCTACGTGGATGGTGCCGCAACGTATTCTGAACCACACTACAACGTGGAGGAAGTTGTGCCTGGCAAGATGTGTGCGGATGTTTGGCCCGATCCAGGCACTACATGCCCACCTTGTGCATACTGCGACATTCACACCGAACAGGAGTTGATCAAGAGACTACACGAGTGCAACTGCCAGACTATCCATCCTGAAACAGACTGCGGTGACCCTACGTCATGCGAGTGCTACTGCCACAAGCAGGCGCAGGGGCTTGAGCGCTGTCCACACGTGCGACTGCCCCGATCCGAGCTGTGAGCTTCGAGAGGCCCAAGTTGGACAATTGCCATGTGGCACTTGGAGCAGTTGCTGCTGCGTGTGGCAGAGTGCACTCCGCGCGCTTGCCACTGACAACCTCCGGGTTCCTTCGCTTTGCACCGGTGGAAAATGGAAGCTGCGCCCTTGGACGTTGGAAAGGCTGGGGTTGTGTCCAGCCTGAACCCTGAGTCGCAAAGTCCTTTGCTAAGTTGACCTGGGCCACTCGTTTCTAGGCCCCAACCGGCTCAGCCTTCTAGACCAAACACACCTGCCGGAGCCTTACACCACAAGCAAATGCTCCGAGAGCACCACGTGCAGCCCCACTTCCCGGAACACGCTGGCCTGCCTGCTAGAGAAGGCCTGAGAGGGCTTCCAAACTTCCAGCCAAAAGTAAGCCCTACACCCTATACCCTGAACTCTAAGCCCTAAACCCTATACCCTGAACTCTAAACCCTATACCCTATACCCTGAACTCTAAACCCTAAACCCTAAACCCTAAAATTTAGGGGTTACCGATGCCATCGCGCGGCTCTGCCCTGGCCATGACGAGGCCACCAGCGGGGTGCCCTGTTGGTTCGGGCTTAGCCCTAAACCCTAAACCCCAAACCCTAAACCCTAAACCCTAAACCCCAGAGAGGATGCAGAGGGAGACGACAACCCGAAACCTGAAAACCGAGACCACGCTGCAATTCACATGCCAAGAACCAAATGCAGGGGGATCCTGCTATTTGGGGTCTTTTTTAGGGGCCCTTATTATCGAAAACCCCCAAATCCTCCCGAAACCCTTAACCCTAAACCCGAAACCCTAAACCCTAAACCCTAAACCCTATAAACCCTAAACCCCCAAAACTCCTCAACAGGCAGCTGCAGGAGTCCGCCTTCAACAAAGTCGCCGTCAGCCAGGCTTGGGATTGCATCGCGGCTGGGGACTCGTAGGGTTTAGGGTTTAGGGTTTAGGCTTTAGGCTTTAGGGTTTAGGGTTTAGGGTTTAGAGGTTAGGGTTTAGGGTTTAGAGGTTAGGGTTTAGGGTTTTTTGGACTTGTAGGGTCCGGACTTGGGATTCAGAGCCTTGAGGGCTTCATGTTCTTTGTGGGGCTGGGCTGTGGCATGTGTCTGATATAGCTGGAAGTTGATGAACCCCACTTATGAGCCAATTGCAGTCGATGTTGCGCGGGACTTCGCCCAAAAGCTTGGATCAGTACAGGCAGCAGGGCCTCCGGCATGCGGGATCGGCCGACTACGCTGCATCATTTATGGAGTCTAGGGGTACTACTTTGGGCTCGGTTTCGCGAATCGGATTTCGCCCTTGCCACTTGATACTGAAGCTTGTGGTACCGAAGTAGCATTTGAGGAATTGCCGGCTTCATCAGGGTTTTCGATTGGTAGAGCTACGACTTGACCCTAAACGCTGAGCCCCACACGATTTCCGGACATGGACTTCAGGCAGGTTCGTAGTAGCTGACCATCCGATGCCTCGTAGAACCGTTACTCCTTGAAGTCATTCAAGCCGTTGATTCCTTTTTTAGGGTAGCATGTAAATCTACACTGAATCTACACCAATTGCAGTCCATCTTCGGAATGCCCTCGATGGCAAATGGCCTGGACGTCCGTGAGCTTCTGCGCGAGGCAAGGTGATTTGAGCGGTTGAGGCGTTGGCGGCTTTAGAAGTTTTTTGGCGGCTTCGGGTTGCAACGTCAGACTTGAGGGTGTAAGGGCGTTTGGGCATTCCAACTTGTGAAGTTTGGCAGGGGCTTTGGGGCTTTACAGGGCTTGACAGACCCCAAGCTCCAAGCCTCAAACCATACCCTGATCATGAAGCAGGGTAGGGTTTAGGGTTTAGGGTTTAGGGTTTAGGGTTTAGGGTTTAGGGTTTAGGGTTTAGGGTTTAGGGTTTAGGGTTTAGGGTTTAGGGTTTAGGGTTTAGGGTTTAGGGTTTAGGGTTTAGGGTTTAGGGTTAGGGACAAAGGTGCAAGGACCTACAGGACCTGGATACCTCAAGCGAAGGAAAGAAGCGAGCCACAGTCACTGAAAAGGCGTTCAGTTCTCAGCTACATGAGGACTTCAGGGGGGGGTGTACTTGGGTTTATGACGGTTATTGGGGACCGTGGAAGTGCCAAAAGTGTGCGAAGGAAACGCGAAGACTGAAACACGCAGTAGACAAGCTGCAGGTCGGAATCTCCTTGGCCGATGCAGATGCCAAGGCCCACAGGGTCATGGGCGGCTCGGCAGCAAGGACCACTTCTGACAACCGCTGGGGCGAGGGCTGAGAGTTGTTTGAGCCCTGCAACCTAACCTTAAACTGCCCCAAGCCCTTGCTTTGGCCTTCCTCTCCTGGTCCGACAGCCCTAAACCCTAAACCCTAAACCCCAAACCCTCCTAAACCCTAAACCCTAAGCAGCAAGTCACGTTTTCTGCGCATGTTCTCCAAAGTTGAGGGCCACACCTGGAAGCAGAGGGACAGGTGAGCTCCGGGCTAACACATTCTCCTACCACATCGACACGCGTGAACTGCACTTCCTATCTCCCAAGTTTTGGGCCCTCGAATCCGGCTCAGGGTTCACATGCATGTAAAGTGTATTAATTTAACAATAAGTATAATAAGTATGTTAAGAAAGTATATATATATCTATACATACATACGATTTTACATACGTCGACCGCCCCCTCCCCTCGTCCCAGCTCGGCATTCCATTGATGGATTGGTGACATGGCCCCTCAGCAAGACATGCAGAAATATGGCTGCATCCTCATGGGAACTTCAAGGGCACGACACTGCGAAGAGAATTCCGTTCAGAACCTGGAGCCCTAATTGACCTGTAGTAACAGTAGTCTCTAGCATCCTATATACCCTTAACTCCCCAGATGCTAAGCCCTGAACACAAAATGCTGTGGCGGCCTCTACTCGACAGCCCGAGTGCTGAGGCTACAGCGTCAATCCGTAAGAGACCTTAAACCCTAGACCCCTAGACCCTAGACCCTAAACCCAAACCCTTTTTAACCCTAAACCCTAAACCCTGAAGCCCAGCCCTGGAGGTTTCTTTAGATGGTCTATGGTCCCAATGGTCCCACAACGCTGGCGGCTAGCACCTGAAACCTCAAACGCACCGCGCGTGGCGATCGAATCTTCACACGCCCCCAAAAAGCCCTCAGGGCCTTCGAGGCGTGCCCAACAACCCAAAACCCTAAACCCTAAACCTTAAACCCTAAACCCTAAACTGCGCCTGTCTTGCGCTATAGGCCTTACCGACTCGCAGCGGGTGCGGATGTTCACTGAGAAGGCTGCTCCGGAACTTGCTTGAAGGCCTTATATATATATATGTATATATTGTTTTCGAAAACACACGCTGTTCTTCATGGAAATGCCTCGGAACCTTCAAGCCCACCGAACTTATTTCAAGGCGCGTGGGGGCGTTACCGCGTGGCAGAGTTCCATGCGCATGCACGCACGCTTGCACGCACGCAGAAACCTACGCACAAACCAGCACATGCACACGCACATCTGCAGACGCACGGGCGCAAACGCAAACGCAAACGCGCACGCGCCCGCACACGCGCCCGCACACGCACACCTGCACACGCACACCTGCACACGCACACCTGCACACGCACACCTGCACACAGCCTATGAGTAGGCCTGCTTATGGTGGCCGACCTACAGCCTAACCGTAGGCTTGCCTGCAGGCTACAGGCCTACGCACCGGCTTGCCCACAGAGTGCACTGGCCTGCCAAAGGCCTATGCCACAGTCCTTCTGACAGGCCCACAGGCTACCTAGCCTACCGCCTGCCTACAGGCTACCTTTTGGTGCGCCGCAACCCTACCTGCAGTTAGCTTACCGGCAGCTACAAACAAGCATGCAGGTAAGCCTGCGTTTGAGTGTGTGAGTGTCTGGGTATCTGCCGCTGGGACACGCCCTGATGCGAAGCCTTGCCAGATACACGAAGTACGGAAATCCACAGCAAGGACTTCTCCTGATGCGTCTGTTGCCTCGTTTGCCTCGTCGCAAGAGGAGACCTTCCCTATAGACACACTCACACGCTCAGACACTCACGCACACACACGAGAGACTCCTCCAAACACGCGTGGGTCTCAGTGTGTGAGTGTCTGGGCTGTCTGGGTGGTTACCGCTGAGACACACAGGCTCTGATGCGACGCTCTGCCACGAGGTACACTCGTATGATTTGTGCCTCCCTTGCTTGACGATTGCGGTGTTTTTGGAGGCTCCTGCCGCCACCGAACTCCCTGAATGCCCCGAGCCCTCACGAAATAATTCCTGAACGTATGTGGGGGTTTAAGACAAGAGGGACCTGAAATAGACTCCCCCCAAATAGTAGGATTCCCCAAAAGTAAGGACCCTCATTACAAGGTTCCCCCCAATCTCGTGAGCCGCCCCTGTGAGGCACTGGATAACATCCAGCACGCGAGGGAACTACACTCGCAGGTGGAAGATTCAGCTCCTTGGCGGTCCTAAGGTCCTAAACCCTAAACCCTAAACCCTAAACCCTAAACCCTAAACCCTGAACCCTGAACCCTGAACCCTGAACCCTAAACCCTAAACCCTACACCACCCTAAACCCTAGGAATTGATGTTTTCAGGCATTCGCGCTTTGGGGTGCCAGGATTCAACGGCATACCTGCATGGGCTATTCTACCCTAGAACTGCCTTAAGAAGGCCCTTTATAAGGTTGGTTCGGGGGACTATAAGGCCGAATAGCCCATGATGGTATGCCCTTTGAGTCAAGCAACTTGGTTTTTTTTTCAGATTTGGAGGGGTTGGGTGCAAAGGTTTGTCGGTTTGAGACGTATAATTGGGCTTGCAAGAAGCATTTAGGCGTGCTGAGGAGCTGGACCAGGGCGTTCATACTTCCTATTATTGCTTGAGCCTAGGAGTGGGAAAGACTTAGGGGCATTCAGGGTCGCACGTTTGGTGGGTTTAGCCCTAAACCCTAAACCCGAAACCCGCAACCCTAAACCCTAAACCCTAAACCCAAACCCTAACCCCTAACCCCTAAACCCCTAAACCCCTAAACCCCTAAACCCTAAACCCCTAAACCCTAAACCCTTAGGCTTGCAAGGCCCACATCCAGCAATCCAGGTGGCTAATGTCGGCATCGGCGTGATGCGAGAGGAGCAGGACGAGAGACGGCGGTGTCCTCGAAGTCTTTAGGGTTTTGGGTTTAGGGTTTCTACTGGCAGTGCTTTAAAACCGAGATCCAAGTCTGTGACATCTTAACCTTGAACTCCTTCACCATGCGACCCAGGCCGTAAGACCATTCACCCGTCCGACATCTGCCCCTTTCCTTACCCCGAAACTTTCGAAACTATTCACGCACAAGTCCCGTCATCTGAATCCTACACGTACGTATTTCTGAGACCGATCATGGCTGCGTATCATGCGTCGCCTGAATCCATGCGCACCTCAAGAAGCAGTCCTCGGAACGCAGCCCCACGTTTAAACAAAAATCCCAAGAGTTCTCGAGGGCCATCAGCTAGGAGAGGTGGCCGCGCTCTCCCAAGAGTTCCCAGACTGCTTTGGTGTTGTCTCAGGGCATGTTTTTGTCTATACATACGGCCTGTAAAGGGCCCCTTTTTAAGCGGTTTATGGGGCTATAAAAAGCCCATGCTGGCCATCTCCTCTGAAATTTGCACAAGCCTTTCTTTGTGTTCTCAGAACTTCTGATCTCCTTTGCAGCCGCTTCATTTCGGCTCCCTACACACATGTCGGCGTCTGGGATGTAGCCAGTGAGGGCTCTTGACCACGACAGCAGGAAGCCAGTACATATCAGACATGGCCAATCGATTTAAAATCAAGGAGAGCAACTGCAAAGGCTTCAGTGTCCCTAAACCCTAAACCCTAAACCCTAAACCCTAATATATGTCTTCAGAATCTCAGAATGGGCTGAGCGGGCTGAGCGCTCATGGCTGGGAAAGACTTCGCCATTGCACGCAGTGTGAGCGGAATCTCCTTGTACCGGGGCGTGGAGTTTGATGGTGACGGGAGGCTTTGCCAGATGACTTGTTGCAGGAACTTGCCATAAACATCCCAGAGTCAGAGACTAAGACCCTAAACCCTAAACCCTAAACCCTAAACCCTAAACCCTAAACCCCACAACCTTGTGGTCGCTCAGGCACAGCGAGGCCCGAGATGCTCGAGAATATGAAGCACCAGAGTTCCCCGGCCGCAGCCGGCCACTGCTTTGCTCCCCCACGCAGTGCAGGGTTTCAAATTTTCTCGCTAAACCATAAACCCTAAACCCTTAACCCTAAACCCTAATCCCTAAACCCTAAACCCTACTGGGTTCTATTTTTTCCTGGGTTCGGCAGAGCTTGCAGGTTTGGCTCGTCGGCTTCGGGGTTGCTTCTGTTTGCTTAAGAACCCCCCCAAAAAACTTAATTATAATTATAATGAAAATAATAAGTCCCTATATTACCCTTAGAAGGAAGAACATGTTTCTTAATGTTTAGGGAGTTCTTAAGCACTTGGTAGGGTGAGAGTCTGACAGCCAAGGCCCGCCGGCAAGGATTCAGCCTCCAAGGTGAATGTGATTGTACGCCTTCGCCCACCGGTGAGCCAAGACGAGGACAGGTTCAGGATTTGTTGGGGTTCTGTGCTGGCATGAAGGATGTGGGGTTTAGGGCTTGGGGGCTCTGATGTGTGTGTGTGTGTTTGAAAGTTCATAGGAATTATAGTTTCCGTGCTACGGGGATGCGCATCTGGTGTTCATGGTATGCATAAGTGTATAAATACTTAGCGTGTGTGTGTGTGTGTGTATGCTGCGGCAAAGGGGTCATGGAGCCACCCTCTGTTTCTTTGGGTGAGGGAGGTCTGTGTTTGTCTTGTCTTGTGGCCATGCGCGCTTTCACGCCTTCTCGGGTTTCCTTGGCACTTTCAACATAGGTGCCAAAGAAAAAGATTCTCCCATCAACAATGTTCTAATGTAGCAAAAGTGTGTCCTGCGAACATAAAAGAGATCTTGAAATTCTCGTCTGGGCATATTCTCATGTCGTGCAAGTATCAGCCTGGAAATCGGCGTGTGTTCTTATGGTTTTCTGCAGATGACTGTTGTTCTTACCAGGTTTGTTCTTACCAGGTTGCCGTGTCCATTCTGACCACTATGAATGTCGTTCCTTATTACGACATATTTTTGCGATTTTTATCACGAATTCCGCTATTATTTTCTTGCTTTTTAGACTAGTATGCTTGTGTTCACAAATACAATTGTCTTATTATTCAGACGAATATGACACTTCTGATTACACATAGTATTCGTGAACTTACTGGTAAGAATAAAAGTGCTTGCTAATCTTCTTACTTGTCTTCGTGTTGGAAGTATTGCAGTTCTCATTTTTGCTGTGAGAAATTGGCCATGCCTCTCAGAACTGACAACCCTCCGGTCCGTGCATGTTGCGATTGTCGAGGACATCAGCGAGGTCTTCGCCCTCACGGACACGAAGAACGTGACTGTGAAGGATCCGCTCTCCAGGCGCCTGCAGTAGCATTTGGACTGCCAGAAGCTAGGTTTCAAGGAGGTACCTCGGGATGTTCCTTTATACTTGCAGTCCTCCATATGGATTATCGTACCCCCTACTGTAATCCTTATTAAGGACTGGTCGTATAAGGGCGAACATCCCAAGAGCCACCTTTCTCCGGATGATTTGAAGGGTTCGTTTGCAACGCAACTCGAGGCCCAAAAATGAGCTCCTCTCGGCTTCAAGGGCCCAATCAGCCTGAACCACCCTGATGATGAGGGTTTAGGGTTTGGGGTTTGGGGTTTGGGGTTTGGGGTTTGGGGTTTGGGGTTTGGGGTTTAGGTGGTACCTTTGTTCCTCCGCTGTCCCAAGAGGGGCCGTATGGAGCATAACTTCACTTTCGACCGCGTCTTCTCCCCAGACGATGGCCAAGAAGCCGTGCGCCTCGGCTTTTAATTTTTTCCCGAAGGTCCTCAGCTCACGTTCTGGCTGCCAGGCCAGGATCTGCCCGACCAGTAGAAGCTCAGGCCCTCGGGATGCGCATCCAAGCCCCAAGCCACGAATAGGGTTTAGGGTTTAGGGTTTAGGGTTTAGGGCTTAGGGCTTAGGGCTTAGGGTTTAGGGTTTAGGGTTTAGGGTTCAGGGTCCCCACGTTCCAGCCCTTGACCTCGCGCAGCTGAGGTTCGAGGTAGTAGCCAAGCCGCTGGTGGACAACTTGCTGGATGGCTTCAATAGCTGCTGCTTCGCCTACGGCCAGACCGGCCCCTCTTACTGCGTTTTTTGGGGCACGCTGTTTTTTGGGTTGTGGGGAGAGCAGGCGGAGTGCAGAACAGGCTTCGGGGTGGTAGGGGCACGCTCGCCGCACGCTCGCCGCCTGATAAAAGTGTAAATTGCCAAGGGTCAAGGGAGAGGCCAGGTATGATCCGGGGTGTATGTGAGTTGGGACTCAAGGGGTTCGGCTGGGACTCTGCAGCGGGAGTAGTTGGAAGCCAAAAAGCTCACTCGCAAGCTCTGCACGTTGCTGACTCTGAATTCGGCAGATTCGCAAGGCCCCCGGCTCAGTGAGACTCAGCTTCACAGTGTTTGCTGACCTGCTGCAGGCTCTGGGAAGACGCACTCGGTATTTGGAGAGGGCAACAAGGAGCTTCTCTCAGAAGACCAGTCTGAGCCCTCCCCCCCCTTCCTGATTCCTCAACAGCGAAACAAGCGAAGCTAAATACCAAAATCCTTCAATCGGCTTTCATGGAGAGCCACCCTAAACCCTAAACCCTAAACCCTAAACCCCTCAAGCCACTGGTTTTTGGAGCGATGGATGTCTGGCTCGTGATGTTAGAGATTTTGCGGCAGGAGCCCAAACCTGGAGACCTGTGACCAATTCATCCAACAAACTTAAGTCCTGCAACTTGCAAGAAAAAGGCCCCCCCCCCTCCTCTTTAAAAAAAAACCCTCAGCCCTAAACCCCAAACCCCAAACCCTAAACCCTCAACCCACTCCTTGGTTTCAGAGAGGAGCAGCGTGGCCTCTTAGCCCGTTCCATCGAGTACCTCTTCGATCGAATCGAGGCCCAGTCCCAGCACAAGGAGGCCCCCTCCTCGCTTGCCGGCATCTTCTCTTGAGGGTTTTTGTTTAAACACGCTTTATATGTATGTATGTATATATATATATACACACCCTATAGATAGATATAGATATATATATATATATGTGTACTGTATATATGTATATATATATAGGCATATGTTTTGTGATATTTTTAAAACGGTGCTCTGAGAGCTTGTAGCGGTTGTTCCGGGTGTTGAAGAGAAGACTTGTAGAGTCTAGGGATGCTGCGGGCCTAGGATGCACAAGCCCCACAAGAAAAAAGGGATTCGGGGGTTTAGGGTTTAGGGTTTAGGGTTTAGGGTTTAGGGTTTAGGGTTTAGGGTTTAGGGTTTAGGGCTTGGGGTGTTTGAGGGCTTTTTGCTCTCTAGTTGCGTACTTTGGCTGTTTGGCACGCCAAGTTTCCAAGAGTCGGCCCGTGGAAAATTCAGATGTCCATGGCATTTGGTCTAGGGTTTTGGGTTTAGGCTCTTTCTTTCCTGGTACTGCCATGGTGGCTTGACAAAGGTCTGCTCTTTTGTGTGTGTGTCGAGGTTTTGAAGCGTCGACCTGAAAGTTGCCCAAAGACCGCAGTGTTTCGGTCGTTGCTTCAGGCTGCAACTCATGGTTCCGCCAAAAGCAAAGCCAAGTCCTCCGAATGTACAGGGTGGGGCCCCCTAGTTATAAGTAGAGTTATAAGGGCCCTAAATTGGGTTATAAGGACCCTAAGTTAGGTTATAAGTCCCTTAACTACAGTTAGTATAGTAAGGGGGCCCCACCCTGTAGGAGCCCTGAACACAGGGCTTTGTCCTTGAATGTGTCGGATGTGGGCTCTGAACTTCAGGTCGTTTAGTTAACTTAGGGTTGGTAAACCAACAGATCCCCTCCTGCGCACGACATGCGCGAGGTGGGCATGGTGGTCAGCTCCTTGGAGTTGTTTTGCGCCCTGTCAACCCACTTCAGGCTTCCTTCCGGTATCTTGGGCTCTGAATCCCCCAAAAGAAGTGCCACTCGCACGGTAGCTGCGGGTGATTTCAAATCTCTACCTTAGGGTTCAAGAGCAACAGTAGGGCTTAGGGTGTACGATTTAGGGTTTAGGGGTAAGTGTGGAGCTACCATCAAGTCGATCTCCAGAGGTACAGCACAGAAGCAGGACATTTTCATACGAGCCATGCATTCTCTCCCAAAAGCAACCCTATACAAGAGGCTTCGCGCGCCCCGCACCAGCTGCTCGGAATATCATCCCAAGCAGCGCCGACACTGTAAAGAACCTTTGGGAGCATGGGAGCCCCCGAAAGCCGCTTTTTCTCACTCAGGATAGGAAACCCTGCAGATGCAAAACCCAGATGTAAAACCGAAGGTATCCCTACGCCAGTTTTCGAAGTAGGAAACCTCAACTGTGCACCTGACAGGCGACCCCTCGCCCATGTGTACATCGTAAATCTGCCCTCCTGCAAGACCCGGCAGCCTCAAAGCATGGAATGAGCACAGGCTTCTTGGAGATCTACTTAGACCAGGTGCGTGACCTGGGACGTTTCTTGGCCCTTGCCAGGGTTCAGCGGTGTTAGGGGCTTCTTGAGTGCTAAGCGGGGCTTCAGGTTGGTACATGTCCAGGGCTCTCCAGCTTTACAGGAACCATGAACCAAAAAGAATGCTAGACTTGTAGACTCTCAGCCAGGTGCAACATGACAACCTCAGAGCTGAACTGTTTTTTGCCCTAGGTCTTCGGCCGCTGTTCCCAGCAACCCATCAGCAGCCGACGTTTACGCAGTTGAAAAAGTTAGCACACAGCGCTTTGCGGCTTGTACTAAAGCCTATACAGGCCCACATCTGCTACTTGGAGGTGGGTCGAGTCAGATGGAAGCTTAACCAAGCTACCGACAGCTTCTCCGAAAATATCGAATAATATAAAAACACACGGCTGACTAAGTGCAGGCACTGCGCCTGAGCCCTTCTCCACTCTTAGTCGGAACTGGTATTGTGACTGCCCTGCCTCCCGAAGTCCCGAAGATACGTGATGCCACGTGAATGAAGAGGCTTCTACTTGGAGGGCGAAACCCTTGTCGACGACCGGCCGGTGTCCAAAACGCCAAGTCGCTTGAGAGACATCAGCAGCTGAGTGGGCTTTTGAATGTTCACGGCAACCAGTACCCTTAAGGAGCTGATGACGTAAGAAGAGTCTTCGGATCTGAGTTTCGCCCTTTTGCAGTTGCACTTCATTGGAATAGAGCTGAGAAGTGCAGCAACAGCCACAAACGGCTCGCCGGAGTCCGAAGACAGCAGTCGACTAGCAGTCCTTAGCAAACCCATGTTTACAGAGACATTGTAAGGACCAGGAGGGCTTGGGATTGTGGGGGTGTAGGTTTGGGGACAAAGATTTGGGGCCTTGCGGTTTGTGGGGCCTTAAGGGTTTCGGGGTTGATCCTTTTAAAGGGTCCCTGGAGCTTGAAAAGCCCCTTAGGGTTTAGGGTTTAGGGGTTTAGGGTTTAGGGATAAGGGTCAAACCCTCTCGAGGCCTCTCCAAGATGCGAAACTCCCAGAACTCCTCTGGGAAGTCTCTTGGGAGCCGGCCTTCGTCAGCGCAGGACGAGGGGGCCGCCTTGCCAGGCTCTTTTTCCCTAAAACCCCTCAAAAAGGCCTTTTATAGGGTTGATTATGGGGAATAGGGCCGCCTTACCAGCATGGCTCTGGTGCTTTAAACGGCCGGGTTGATTACGGGGAAAAGGGCCGCCTTACCAGCATGGGCTCTTATACCCTAAACCCCTTAAAGAAGGCCCTTTATAGGGTTGATTCTGGGGATGATATGGCCGAACAACCCATCCTGGTAGGGCCGCCTTAGGGAGGGCTCAGAGGATCTCAGTGGAAGTGAGAAGATGGCGCTGTCAAGCGATTTTTGGGGTCGCTTTCCTTTGTGGATGGTTTTGTTTTTAGTGGTTTCGTGCTAAGCAGAGAATGTGACTTCTGCCGGCACACGGCTTCTTACTAATAGTTGGAAGACACTCCTTTTGCCAAGGCACCTTTCCCAATTCCATGTTGAGGCCTGTGGGGTCTATAGAAGGCTCCCCTAAAGGACCTGTTTGGAATCAAGAACAGTTCCCTTGCAGAAGCCGAATGTTTGTTTAAGACACCAACTCAGCGTTTCCGATTTTTTGAAATTCTTCAACAAACTGTCGCCGAGGCAATCCTTGAGCTTGGCGCGTAAAAGTCGCACGCAGGGTGCGAAAAGGCTGCGGCTACATATTTCCATATATATATATATATATATATATATATATATGCATAACCCAGACAAAGCGTTGCGCCAAAAAGTCTTCGCGTCGCAGCCTCTCAAGGCGTTGTGCCAAAACCTCACATTTCGCGCTACATGTCCGAAGTTGACCCTAACCCCTAAACCCTAAACCCTAAACCCTAAACCCCAAACCCTAAACCCTAAACCCTAAACCCTAAACCCTAAACCCCCTGCATGTGAAGGACAGGGATGGCTCAGCAAGCCGACCTTCGAGACCTGGACACGCAATTAGAGGGCCACAGGGGTTCAGAGATGTTTGCTTCCTTAGGGTTTAGGGTTTAGGGTTTAGGGTTTAGGGTTTAGGGTTTAGGGTTTAGGGTTTAGGGTTTAGGGTGTAGGCTTTTAAAGGCGTCCTTCTTTTCTGCGTGTTGCAGATTGCACATAGTTTCGCTTGGAGACATCAGGGACAGAGAAAATCGGCTCATGTTATCTGGCCTCTCTCCGTTGCGAAGTGCATTTGGATCGGATTTTTCTCTTGGTTTCCCGTCTCACCCTGCTGGTGTCACAGACTAGTTTTGGCAAGTATGCTGAAGGTTATTGTGGAGAACCCTAAACCCTAAACCCTAAACCCTAAACCCTATTAGGAACCACCGGATTTGGCATCCAAGTGCGTTTGGATGCTTAGGGTTACATGGCGAACTGACAAGCTTTGGGCTGAGGCTGGGTTTTTCTGAGCTGGCAAGTCCGGCAGTTGGAACACTAGGGTTGAGGGTTTAGGGATGTTTAGGGTTTAGGGATGTTTAGGGTTTAGGGTTTAGGGTTTAGGGTTTAGGGTTTAGGGTTTAGGGTTTAGGGTTTAAGACCAGTCCTCTTTCGCCCAGGAGCCGGCCGAATTCCGGCAAGGCGCCGGCTGAGCGGAGCCGCACGAGCGGCGTGATGTCCAACTCCGATGACTCGGAGGATCTCTACGCTACTGGGCTGGAGACCCTAAACCCTAAACCCGAAACCCTAAACCCTAAACCCTAAACCTCTGCTGGTGACTACGAATTGCTTAAGAACCCCTCAAAAAATAGGAATATTCTTCCTGATGAGGGTAATACAGGGATTATAAAACGTAAACATGTTGGGTTTTTTTAAGGGGAGGGTCTTGTTTTTTTCCTCTGAGGTTCAAGGGTTCCAGTTGCGGGAAGAAGGTCGGGGGCTTCACTCTTTCTAAGACACCAAAGCAAGTCGCATCAAGTCACTGTGAACCTTTGCAGATCCATTGGACACAAAACCAGGGTTTAGGGTTTAGGGTTTAAGGTTTAGGCTTTAGGGTTTAGAGTTTAGGATTTAGGGTTAGGGTTTAGGGAACCTTCTTGAAGTCATCTATGGTCCCTCCTTGCCCTTTGCACGACACTGTGCACAAGAGGCTAGACGCAGGCAGTAGGCAACTCATCCTGTCTGGTAGCACATGCAGCCAAAAGATGCCAGCAACATTCCGCGACATGGAATCCAGACAAATCGTAAAATTTCACTCCGGCGCTCCGACACGAGTACTACGTAGGGGTGCATTGCAGGCCATATCTTCGGGGCAAAGTCCACGGGCTGCGTCCAGCCTCCCTGTCTTGCATCTTGCATCTTGCATCTCTCTCAAGCCCGCTCCCCTAACTGCGAAGTTGAGGAGAGGGGGCAGGGGTGGGTTGCGCGATACCTCTAACTTGCGTTAGCAGGTCGTTGCAACGCACCAGTTTTTTTGGCGCACATACGCCTCAATGCTTCCAGCCAAGGCACGTCCTACATATCGGATCCTAGCCGCATCTATGGCATCCTCTGTGGCTGAATGAAAAAGCATTTGCATCAGGAGGTTAGCCTCTACACCTCTGCTGGCGTGAAGCGCAAGCCCCGATGCCACAAACAAGTCTGCTGTCCCCGGGCATTCACACAGAGCATGCCGAATCCAGACACTGCATCTGTCACAGAAAGGGCACTTGTCAAGTTCTACTTCTGGCGGCAGCTCTGACAGTAAACTCAATGGCCACATACCAGTCAAGATGGGCAGCAAGTGAGACCAGTCACACTGTCTTCTCACGCAGCCCAAGTCTGCGAAGGCCAGACCCATCCCTACTAGATGCTTAGAAGCAGCTTTCTGAAACTCCGCCTCATCTCTGGCACACAGGATTGGCAGAAGGATTCGCGTCTTGTAAAGTAAGAGCAAATTTTTTCGAACAGCACTGTCCTGTTTTGCTCTCACTAGCATTTCCTGCGTACAAAGGTTTGCGGCAAGGATGTCCGGGAATGTTCCTGCAGCGCTATCTTCCCTCAGCTGATGCCTGAGCGACTCAACTGCATGCCACCAGGTGTCTGATGGCAAAGATTTGGCCACCGCCAGCATCAATGCAGCTGGGTGGTCCACAGGCAAGCGCTGGATTTTTGCTAGGCACAAAAACATACGCAGCAAGGCTTTAGAGGACAAACGCAACTGCCAACCCAAAAGAGCAACAGCCAAAGAACCCCTAAGAACAGACCCAGCACGACCAGCAAGAACTCCCTTGGCCCATTCACCTTGTAAAAGGTCAAGTTTAGGCAACACCTCAGGCGTCATAGCCAGCAGCTCAGCAGCATACAGAACTACCGGCTCCACACGCTCGACTATAGCAGCTGCGTGCACCGGCGGTGGCAAGCCCAACTCTGTAATGAGATGGGAGAGCTCATCAAACATGGCCTTTCCAATTTGAATAATTTGCTTTGAGCGGGCAGAAAAAGAGAATTGACTATCAACCAAGACCCCCAACAGCTTGTAAGAATCACATGACATATGAACGAGGCAGGATTTGGCAGCATCCATGCAGCTCATGACTGCCGTTTTGGTGGGACCCAAGTTGAACTGCGCCTTGGCAAAGCGTGCATAGGACGGAAGCCCATAAGTAACTGCATGCTGGATGTCTGCATCTGTCGCAAAAGATGTTACCACATCATCCACGAACAAGAGGGGGCCCAACGGCAGAGCACCAAGTAGCTCAACACACTGTGCACGTTTCTGCCGTTCCTGGATGCCAGCCAGCAAATGTATTGCCACTCTTCGTGCTTCAGTGATTGAAGGGGCCTGGCGAATTGCAGCTGCCATTTGCTGCAAACTAGGTTGCTCACCTAGCCGGAGCTGGCGCATGCACGAAGGTGCAGGGGTCAAAGACGCCCACAGCCCCGAAATGGCATCTGCTGCAAAGGAAGGCAACACCGTGTTGGCTGGCGCACACTCGCTTAATAAAATATCGCCGAAATGTTTTAGCAAGGCAGAAAAAACGTGCACACTAAACTTTTTACCCTGCGGGATACCTACACCCAAGGACAGAGCTCGAGAAAGGACCCCTCCCAACATAATGGAAGCTGAGTCCATTTTGAGGAAATCGTCTAAAAGCCTCCACTCGACCTCAACCACCCCGGACAAGAAAGCAGCAAGGAGCATGCCATCATGACTTGCCGTGTCAAATGCATGCTGGATGTCCGAGAATAACAGAAAAGTATCAAGTCCTTGGTAGTGACGGATCTGGACATGCAGCATGACAGCCAGGATGACCAAGATGGTGTCTAGTTTACCGCCCACTTGGCGATGATCGGTGTAGGTCTCAAGTTGTTGCTTACACCTGGCAAGCCACAAGGCGTCCTGCACTGATGCCATGTCCGTTGCGAGGCTGATGGGACGAAGGCATTTTAACTTCCTGACGACTCTCGGCCCTTGTTTACGGAGCGGGGTGATGCGTCTGAAGCACCAGCTAGTGGCCGTGACCTCAGCAGCTCTAGCCAAGTTCACAAGAGCCAA